GAAAAAAAACGTGGGCGAGCACGTTTTCACACCGCCATCTTTGACGATTTTTAATTCTTCTTTGGCTAAGCCAAATGACTTGAAAATTTATAGGCATGTACCTCACGTCATAGAGAACTCATAGAAAAACAATTCAGAAAAACAAAATTATTTTTAGGTCCCGAAATATTTTTTGGCGGGGGCCGAACGCTGTCGGGTTTGGGGCCCGTACGGGACCCCGAACGCCCGAACGTACGGAGGTCCGCCCGGGGGCCTCCGTACGTACGGGCTGATAACCTTGTATATATATATATATATTTGTTTTTTTAAGGTTAGGGCCTGCCCTATGCTCGTGGTCATTGACACTATATGTGTTGAAGGGCTCTCTCTCTGTAGCGCTTTATCACACATACATACACACACATACACACACACACACACGCACACACACACACACACACACACAGAAAAACACACACACACACATACACTCATATATACGGCGCGCACACACCTACACCCACACACACTCTTGGAGTTGTGTATCCGCGCCCTTTGGGTAAGGGCGTCGTTAGACACTCCTCAGATTGTCCTTGGGGAAATTTTCAATTTTTTTAGGCGTGCTCCAGTTGTCCTCGGAAAATCGCTTAGAGGAGGAATCCTCAGGGCCCTCCTGTGACCCATTCGATACGATTATACACCCGTGCAGGTCTTGTCCGTGGTGCGATTGTCGATGTCCGTCGAGGAGGTGTACTGGTTCATAGGCAAAGGGTGCAAATACGTGAGGGAACGTGTTTGTTAGAAATTTAATATTAGAAACGTTGGTGCGTGGACGATGGTAAGGAGGCACACAACCGGGTCATCAGGGTGGGCAGTGCACGGCGCGCGGTCTTGGTGATTCCAGTTTGCGGTTGACGTCTCCTTGCGTAATTGAGGGACGATATCGTCACCGAGCTTGTAGTGGAGGTTGTGGCAACTGAAGAGGTCCGTCATCTGTTGGGGGCGCTCTGTGAAGCCGCGTGACAGTTTTGAGCGCGAGCGGTGGTGAGCGGAGATGTCTTTCGGTGAAGTTTTTCATCCATGTGGGTTGTGGATGTGCACATTGGAGGCGACTTTGATTGTGGTCGCGGACGTTGACGGTGGGTCTTGTTGGGTGATAATGGCGGGGTTGTGGTAAACGTCTGTTTTCTATGATGGGGCGCTCAATGGAGGGGTGTGCGGGAGATGGATGTGCAGTGTTGTCCTCAATGGAGAAGACTGTTATCGCGACGACAACGTTGGTCGTGTTTATTAGCAGCGAGGTGGATAGAGCGACAGGGGGCATGAACGTCACGCTTTCAAGGCGGTAACAAAGGTTGTTGATGCAAAAGGTGGGCGACGCCCCGAACTGCGTGAGTACTTCGGAGACCATTGTTCGACTATGCGTTGCGATCGGGTACGGTGTGCTCCTTCGGGCGATGCCACGATGGTGGATGAAACGAAGAACGAACAAGACTTAGTAAGGTTTGCAAGTGTGCGATAATGCGACATATGAGTACTTCCGAGGGAAGTTGCACATGTCCCGAAGACTTTTTAAGGAAATCACCGAAGTCTGCGCCAGTATCATTTGCGACCTTTTTGCCTCGTTGCCCTGCACGTGGTTCCACCGCTTTCCTTTTGCTGCCGGATCCACCTCTCTCCTGTCCCACAACACGAATCTCCATTTCCCCGTCGTCGTCATCAATATCTTCACTGTTGTCGTCCTCTGGCCCACGGTCTTCACCCCTCCCAGCATTATAATCCACAAACAAATCATCTCCTCCGACGTGCATGTTAGCGACTCCTTTCATTATCGCGAAAGTGTTGGCTTGCTGCATTTGTTGTCGATGATCGATCGACACCTGTCGGTTGACAACCTCCATGGCAGTGCATACTTCGTCGTCTTGCCGTACGTCGATTGCCTCATTAGGCGTGCTCGAGTGAGAAGCCGTTTGGACCACTGTCTTCGTCCTTTAAGCGCTTGCGCTTGGCGTGCTCCCTCCCCCGGGAGTCAACGATTCGATTCCACGTCGGCTTGCCACGTCACGTGAGCGCCTTCCACGGATCAGACAACCCCCTCCTGCCCTCACCGATAAGTGTGCGAAGTTGTCGTTTGCAACTGGATTGATGAGCAAAGTGTGTGTGACAATCGACCACTGTCAGATCTAAGACCGAAGTTAAGATCGACGAGTCCACCCTCTTCGCCACCCCATGTCCGTTCCTCCAGTAGCTCCGTGAACGTCGCATTCGCTGATGTTGGTGGTCGTGTAAAGAATTGACTCCCCATCCAATCTTGCATTGAAACTCAACCCAGAGAAATTGTTGAAGATGGATGTTCCTCGGCGCCATCGTCGCTTAAAGAAAAAGGAATCTCGTGCGACGACAGGTGGATGTACAAAATTGGGTCGTACGGACGCTTACGGCCTTCCACGGGATGGCATCGCTGGGATGAAGATTACCCCGACCCTGATGCCCGCGTGTTGTTCGTCAGACGGTTGTCCATCTTCGTCACCTTCTTCGACGACCGCCTCGTATGTTTCCTTCCAGGAAGGCGCATGAGGAAACAAAGGTGGAAGACGACAACCACCACGAACAACACAGGGATAAGTAGCACCAGCAGAAACCTACTGTGGAGGTCGGCCATGAACGACACTAGAGCGAAGACAAAGCACGCACTCGCCTTGTCGCATCCGCAACAGGTAACGCCACACGACAGTTCGATAAATGCCAAGAACAGCGCAATCATCAAGGGAGCGGTTGGGAATGCGACTAAAAAAATCAAATTTTCGATCGTTGGAAAGCCTGCCCAAACGCCACTAGCCCTCGAGGAGTCGCCTGAAGACACCCACAACTCACCACGTACCCCCCGAGGGGCCGCCTGAAGATGCCCACGCACCACGCTGCATCGCCGCTAACGTTAAACTCTGGAGGCTATTGCAGAATGCCCAGGACAAAAAAGGCCTAGGATGTCCGTCATGCGGCCACTAGACCAAGACTGGACCACCTACCACCAACAAATTTCCTTTGATGCTCCACACCGACACCTCGCCAATCGCTGATCCTCGGGCTCCGAAGGACCTCGCGAGGTCCTTCGGAGCCGACGACGATTTGGCTGGGAAATCCTTGGAACCCGATGATTTGTCCATGGACTGTTTTCACATTGTTTTCCTTATGAAAATCAACTTCGAGGACAAGTGTAACGACGACAGAATCATTGGAATTGCATTCCCGAGGAGTGTCTAACGATGACCTAAGTCAATTTGCATCCGGATTCAAACTTGAGTCTGTGGGCCTCGCCATACGGCAACCAAAACGAAACGAAACGAAACGGAACGGATTTTTTCCGCAAGGGTTCGTGAGGGCGCAAGTTTGTTTATGCTTCGTTTTTTGCTGCATCGCCACATAGAGCACACGAAACGAAATCCAATGAGTAAAAAAAAAAAAAAAAAAACAAACAAACAAAGATACTTGATCCATTATAGAAGTCACGAAAGACAATCTACGACTTTGGACACATCCGCGAGGGGCCGTGACAGTTGGCGGGCTGTTCTTGGGTCCTTGCAAGGACCCATGAAAATTGAGGTGCTGCGGCGGGCGGCAGCAACCTCCTCACGAACCACTGTTTCCTTTTCTTTCTGACGAGGACTGGACTCCTCGCCAATTCTTTTTACACGATGGATATTCGTATCGCCATGTGAACATGAAAAGAACTCGTGAAATTGTTCGTTTCGAGGCCCTTTATTTCAACAGTTCATGAGTGTACCAATTGAGCTAGCCAGGCCTAGTGGTCTGGTTCAAGCCTTTTGGTTGGTCCGGGGGGCCCCGCCCTGACCAGTCTCGGCTTGTCGATTTGTGTGCCGACTCGCGTACGAGGGCAACAAATCAAAATTTGAGAGTACCCTGAAGGGGGACGTGGTGGCCGACGACCGACGGCTGGTTCTTCTCCCTTCGCCCAGAGGCCAGGTTCCAGTTACCCGAATTTTGGATTTCTGACTGTTGATCATGAAGATCAACGGCCAGAAATTAAGGATCCGGCCAAGTGGGACTTCGCCGCGGATGTGAGGCGGTACTCACACTACCACTATCTGACAGCATTTCTGGTCGGCCTTATATGCATCTGGCCGCAATTCCGTTTAGAAACAAGTACAAAAAAAAAAAACTGCTGGTGTGAGTATGCCCTGAGACTTGGGAAAGTTCCACCATCTCGGATACAGAGAAGATTAGCATGAGGGTCCAGCGCAAGGATGGGCCTCCTCCCTCCACTACAATGTGCAAAATGAGAGTGAATCTTCCGCTAGAACATGGAAAGATACACAGCCATGATTTTTGTTTCATTTTTTCCCTCAATCTTCTTTGTATATATTTTCCTCGGCTATTTCATCCTCTCTGTACCTAAGTGGTGTTATCCTGGGGCCTAGCTCAGTTGGTAAGGCATGCAAGTGGCATTCAGGTGGTTGTGGGTTCAATTCCCATTGGCCTTATGTACCTTCCTGGGCAAGCTTGGTGCCTGCCGGTAAGGCATCCACGTGGCACCGAGGTGGTTTTGGGTTCAATTCCCATTGGCCTCATGTACCGTCCTGGGCAAGCTTGGCGCCCGCCACCTAGAGATATGCCTCTGAGTGACATTGAGCGGAGACTACTGATGATCATAGGGGGAGGGGATCGGAGTCCCATCGAAGAAGCTCGGTCCTGATGCTACCGGCTGATCCCTGGCCGATATCGCCCACCTGCTGTAGCAGGGTATCGCACCTGCTGGTGGTGGGTGCAGTTCCAACATGTTCCCTCTCCTGAAAGGCCATCCCGTCCAGATTCGACAGCCTTTATGTTACTGAAAAAAAGAAAAAAAGAAAAGAAAAGTATGTGGTGTTGGTCTTCCCCCTATACATAGAGTGGCCATGATTTTTGTCTTTTGTGCATGTGTCGAGAATAGTGGAGCGACACCCCATGACGCATAAATCGATCGAGAAAAGGTCCGAACAGTCCAAAAAAGCAGGGGACTTGGTTCTTGGCGGTCGCGCGAATAACTAACCACTTGCGACCACGTGGTGCGACGTGGTGATCATAAAAGAACCGGCGCAAACGACACGTGGTGACCTGAGGTGGAGTTGGAGTTGGAATCGAGGCGGCTGGCCGACCGTACAACGCTCACGTCTGTCGCGAGTGAATCGGCGAGCGGGAGTACACAGCGGTAGCTTTTTCGGGGGAGAGGAGCCAGCGCGCTGTGAGCGGCAAGAAGCGGGCGGGGGGTTATGGCGACCGCACTGCGCGCCGCCGCAGGAGCAGCGACAGCGGCGGCATCGTGCTGCTGCGCGCCGAGCAGGTTGCACAGCGAAGTCACGTCCACGTCAGCATCTTGCCGCTCGCGAAATGGCCCGCAGTCCTGGGTCGGCGCGGAGACGGCTTGCGCGCCGCGCGCTCTTCCGCTCGCCCAGCAGCGGGGCGTCTGCGCGCCTCAGCCACAACAGCAGCTCGTAGCTCCGCGCCGGGGGAAGGCGCAATGCTCCGCCCCGCTGGGCGGGGGGCTGCTGAAGCTTGACCGGCCGCACTCGATGGCCGTGGCGGCCATGGCTTCCGCCGCCGCCGCCGCTTCGCTGGCGGACCAGTCTACGAGCGTTGCGGAGGGAGGAGAGGAGGGAGAAGGGAGGAAGGTTCTACTAGAGGTGAAAGGGCTAACGGCGGCCATAGCCGACGGAGGGGCAGAGATTCTTAAAGGCGTCGATCTTATAATCCGGGAGGGAGAGG